TCCAAGTGGATTTCCTCAAAATCATATCAGTGTACAAAGGAGCGGCGTGTCAATATACCGACTTAGTTGACTACTTTGTCGCTCCTGGTAGTATTGGCTTTGGTGGTGCTGTGAACTTATTTTTCCAAACATTCCGTTTTAACGGAACATATTTATTTAGAGATGATTTTTGGCGTTAATTTGGTTTTTAACATAAACATTCCGGCTAATGTCCGAAAATGATAGATGATATTTTCAGTAGCACAACTTCAGTTCGAACAATTCCCTTAGTCATCCACTCAATACACCACGGAACAGAAATATCAGGATAGCATGGATGAACACAATAAATGTATGATCAGCTAGGTTGCTAACGGGATCTATACATTGTTATATCATATCATATATACTAAAGAATCTTTTTTGGTTTTGTGTTATCAGTACATTTACTATCCGTTTTGATATTATCAGTAATATTTTGCCATAGATAGCTGGATATTGATTAAGTCTGGGTGCCGAGGTTTTCAGTTTACCCGTTCACGATTAAGCCATCAAAGTTATCAAGCGAACATATGTTTTCAATAATTCTTCGTCAGGCTTGTACAATTATATGCAAAAAAATAACCAAAATATAGACACAGCACACGGACTGGTAAAGCACGCAGTTCACAGTCAATGGTCACTATCAGTCACTGCCCCCTAGAACACAGTTGTAGCATGTGCACAATTCCTTGGTATGGACGGAGTAGTTCGTCTGGGCCAAGTCAAGCACAGCGTGTGAGTGAATCTTTTCTGGACGCACAGTTCTGGCTCGTATAGTCTGATCGCTAAACTCTCCGCCGATTCAAGTAAGCGCATGCGAACGCACTTTGATCGATTTGCAGGTGGTCGATAGATGACCTTAAATGCCTCGGCTAGATTGGGGGAATGGTCCGTGTCAGCAAGATGCGTGGCGATGGATGAGTTAGTTAGCCTTCGGCACCCAGTCGCAAGCCAGGCCGGATGGTGTTCTCTCATTATCTGAGGAACTACAGCGCATTCGCTTAACCCTGAAGGAAAATGGGTACCCGGATGGATTCATTAAAGCCAACATGGAGCCAAGGAGGAAATCTCCTGTAACCCTCACAGCCGAAAAGAAACCCATTTTTCTACAATTACCGTACAAAGGGGAAATCGTAGCTGAAGTTCTAAGTCGTCGTATTTCCCGCGCTCTCAGGCACACCTTTCCAGCAGCCAAAATGCAGATTCACTTCACCAGTAGCCCGATGGTGAAAACTAACCCAAAAGACAAAAGGCCTGTCCACGCCAATTCCATGTGTGTTTACTCATTCACCTGTTCTTGTGGTTCAGGGTACATTGGCCGTACGACGAGGCGCCTGTCTGATAGGGTGAGAGAACACCATCCGGCCTGGCTTGCGACTGGGTGCCGAAAGCTAACTAACTCATCCATCGCCACGCATCTTGCTGACACGGACCATTCTCCCAATCTAGCCGAGGCATTTAAGGTCATCTATCGACCACCTGCAAATCGATCAAAGTGCGTTCGCATGCGCTTACTTGAATCGGCGGAGAGTTTAGCGATCAGACTATACGAGCCAGAACTGTGCGTCCAGAAAAGATTCACTCACACGCTGTGCTTGACTTGGCCCAGACGAACTACTCCGTCCATACCAAGGAATTGTGCACATGCTACAACTGTGTTCTAGGGGGCAGTGACTGATAGTGACCATTGACTGTGAACTGCGTGCTTTACCAGTCCGTGTGCTGTGTCTATATTTTGGTTATTTTTTTGCATATAATTGTACAAGCCTGACGAAGAATTATTGAAAACATATGTTCGCTTGAAAACTTTGAGTTTTCATTTATCAATGGGATTTTTTACTATTGTGAAACACCGCTTGGCCCCCCCTGTGTTGAAATCGCTCAACAGATATGTGAGCTTCCGAACCAGGATAGCGAAAGCGGATATATGCCTTCGTTTTGTAGAGGATTGCATTTCAAATTCCATCTACCCAGTGAGTTACTGGAAATCCCTTCGTCGTGCACGTATCAGGCCGGACAACATTTGCCTAAAGCGTCTAGCGCTCAGCCAGATGGAAACCACACGTGTGAAGAGAGACGAGCTAAATCGTGGCCTGAGTCAACTAACGGCCGTAATAAACAGTCTTTCAGAGAGAGATCGTGCGGAGCTAGAGACGTTGGTTAATGAAATTATTGCAAAACAAGGCGCAAAGCTAAATGCTTCACTCTCGAAGACACTAAAAGGAGAGAAACCGACCATGTGTTTCCCTGCCGAACCCGAAAAGTACGTGTGCAATTTATCTTGCATGACACTTGATCGTACCACAATGGAGGTCTTATCGCTGGGCCCCAAGTTCTGTCTCCCTACTAGAAGGGACAATAGATTAGCAATTGAGGCCCAATTTGAAAATCTATACAGACAGACTTCACAATTGTCTCCGACATCTGATTCGCAAGTAGAAGAGTTTAAGTCGCTGCTGGTGCATGCATGTTATCAATATCGCCGAGCACGGATAACACATAAAACCCCGGTGAGACAGGAACATATTCAGGCGCTGCACAATCTAGTCGGAAATAAAGATATTTTGCTCACTCGACCTGATAAAGGTGCGGGAATAGTCGTCTTGAACAAGGCAGACTATCTTCGGAAAATGCATGAAATATTGGCAGATGACACCAAGTTTTCAAAGATAATAGGCGAAAAAGACAAAACAAAGCAGATCGAGAATCAAATCTGCAACAGCCTTAAAAAGCTTCGTGACGAGGGCTTTATTAGTGAAGGTGTCTATGAAAACCTACGTCCCGTAGGTACCGCGATTCCAAGATTATACGGTCTACCTAAAACGCATAAGCCTAACGTTCCTCTGAGACCAGTTTTGGACATGAAGGACTCTCCGTACCATTCCACTGCACGGTGGCTCGTTGAGCTTTTAGAGCCCGTCCGAAAGCAGGTTTCTGTACACAGTCTAAAGGACAGTTTTGAATTCGTAGAGCTCGTACGTGATCGAAATGTTACGGATCTAACCATGTGTTCCCTCGACGTTGCTTCATTATTCACTAACGTGCCACTATTTGAAACTATAAATTACATTTGTGATTATATTGATCAGAACCAGATATCCATTGGCATTCCTACAGTTGGCCTAAAGGAACTGTTGCTCCGGTGCACCTTCAATATCCAGTTTTTGTTCAACGGAGAAATATACCGACAACACGATGGGGTTGCTATGGGCTCCCCACTGGGGCCGTTTCTTGCTGACGTGTTTATGGGTATGCTAGAACAGAGCAAGTTAAGATCGGTTATCGAAAGCCTTAGCCTCTACTGCCGTTACGTCGATGACATCTTTATATTGCTCCATTCCTCCAGAAACATCGAGGACCTTACTTACACATTTAACCAGGCACACACAGCGCTAAAGTTTACATCTGAAGTGGAGGAAGATAGATCTTTTCATTTCCTCGATGTGAACATGAAGCGACTCGATGATGGTTCCCTACAGCGTGGGGTGTATAGGAAACGTACCTGGAACGGACAATACACGAATTTCTACAGTTTTGTTCCACTTAGATCAAAACGGAACTTGATTTTCAGTTTAACGAGTCGGGCGGAAAGAATTTGCTCGAATGACACATTATCTGAGGAACTACAGCGCATTCGCTTAACCCTGAAGGAAAATGGGTACCCGGATGGATTCATTAAAGCCAACATGGAGCCAAGGAGGAAATCTCCTGTAACCCTCACAGCCGAAAAGAAACCCATTTTTCTACAATTACCGTACAAAGGGGAAATCGTAGCTGAAGTTCTAAGTCGTCGTATTTCCCGCGCTCTCAGGCACACCTTTCCAGCAGCCAAAATGCAGATTCACTTCACCAGTAGCCCGATGGTGAAAACTAACCCAAAAGACAAAAGGCCTGTCCACGCCAATTCCATGTGTGTTTACTCATTCACCTGTTCTTGTGGTTCAGGGTACATTGGCCGTACGACGAGGCGCCTGTCTGATAGGGTGAGAGAACACCATCCGGCCTGGCTTGCGACTGGGTGCCGAAAGCTAACTAACTCATCCATCGCCACGCATCTTGCTGACACGGACCATTCTCCCAATCTAGCCGAGGCATTTAAGGTCATCTATCGACCACCTGCAAATCGATCAAAGTGCGTTCGCATGCGCTTACTTGAATCGGCGGAGAGTTTAGCGATCAGACTATACGAGCCAGAACTGTGCGTCCAGAAAAGATTCACTCACACGCTGTGCTTGACTTGGCCCAGACGAACTACTCCGTCCATACCAAGGAATTGTGCACATGCTACAACTGTGTTCTAGGGGGCAGTGACTGATAGTGACCATTGACTGTGAACTGCGTGCTTTACCAGTCCGTGTGCTGTGTCTATATTTTGGTTATTTTTTTGCATATAATTGTACAAGCCTGACGAAGAATTATTGAAAACATATGTTCGCTTGAAAACTTTGAGTTTTCATTTATCAATGGGATTTTTTACTATTATTAAGCCATCAGTTTTGTCAAACAGCACTCAGCACAAGTTGGGAGGTAACATTTTGATTACAGCTAATTTTTGGGTTGCAGCTATGATATGCGATCATTTCTGAAGCTGACCAACTATTCCAACCAATCCAACTGCATGCAAGTGGTATACCTATGCGGAATGATTCGTTCTATAGCTGCCATTTCCACATCCTCGTTCGCATCCTTAATTTAGGCATAACAAATCCGTGAAGCCAGCTCTGATACATTTCTTAATCGGCTGCCAAATTCAAATACCCGGAACGTCTGAAGTCCATTTCAGCGTGCGCCGTCGCACTTCGTAAACCTAGTATGTAGTTGGAGCTCCGGATTCAAAACTAGTGGTCGCGGACTCTATCGGTTCACTTTAGACTGCCATGTGTCTCCAACCATATCCTGGAGAACTTTATATTAGAACTAGATGTCATCTTCCCCAACATCGACTAACAGGGTGAAAAATCTCGGAAAATTCGATAACACGCAGGAGTAAACCGTTTACACTATTTTGTTGAATAGATGGCGGTAACAGAGGACTGCGAAGGCTTTGAATTTAACTAACCCACGTGCAAATGTGTTCTCCTACTATCCATTTATTTCATGTTCAATTTGTTTACTAACTGTGAAGCTTCCAGGTTCCTCCCATCGCGTTTCCTCAAACACAGGCGGCCTTACTCCAGATGGGAATGCCCTGGGGATATCATCACCAACATGGAGAAGATAGGGGAACAATCATTTGACTGCGAACTCCCAGGAGGACGACGGCGACGTACCATAGATGATACTCGTTTACCGGTAATTTCTCTCAGATCGTGGGTTATACGGACAACCAGATGTCCATCTGTCTGCCTCTCGGCATTATATATTCAAGATGTTCTATACAAGGTTGCGGATGAATAAGGGAAAGACATTACGTTCATGTCATTGTCGACTTCGTCACCACCCCCAAACTCATCCTCTTCTATGAAAGCTAAAAGCTTCATAGTTTCCTATAGACAAGCTAACAAGAATGGTACTATTTGTGTGCAGTCTTAATACTACCTAAATTGGACATTACTCATTCATTGAATTCATTAGTGAAAATTTAGCTGAACGATGGTGGTACAGGATAAACCCGATTACTTTCAAGACTCGCAATTTATTTGAATCACATATTAATACCATGGACATTCCGCTAAAATTAATATAGTACTTCCCAAACAGTCACGCGACGGACATTCGACGCAGTCTATTTATATTATGAATAAGGTTCTCTAGTGTGAGTTCCTATTAAGGCTGTAGTAATCTACAGAGCGTGTATTCCTTAGAATAACGTGTGAGTTATGTGCTTCCACAAATAGTTGTCCATTCTCCAACATTTCTGCGTAAATGCAAGCAAGATGAAACCGGGTGGAACAGGGTGGAACAAGTTACGGTACAAACCCTCCTCACGCAAACTGTGAGCAGAAAAAGATGCGGGGTGACCTATAAAAGATAGTCCCATGTGGATATTTAACTGTCCTTCGAGTTTGGTGATTATGTTACAGACCACAAATAACCGTGTAAGAGCCTGAAATCAGAGAACCTACCGAGAAAATCGGTAGTGTTAATTGCTATTTGACTCTAACGCTGAGACAGAATTAAGCATATCTGCGAATAATACAAATTGTTTCACATGTAGAATGACCAGCGTTTTCGATAACCGTCGATGTAGTTCCATAAACATGAGCACGAGGTAGCGTAACGACTGATTGTGTGAAAGCAACTTCGACCATCTTCAACTTTTGGGGGGCATTGCGACGAGATTGAAGCTTAACGTGGTGCGATGGTTTGTGTGCCTCAGTGATCAATTGAACTTTGCTAGGTGTTGCAATTTTGCGCCTTCAAAGCCACTCTTACCGGATTAGTCAGTGTTTAGAGGTCAAACGAACTCAGTCTCCTGGCCCTCCAGGTTGGGTGTTGGAGTGGCTGTGGATTTTTATTCCTTACAACGGTCTCCTTGTAGCCCAACGCAAAACCCGCTGCCTTGCGGTAAGTTTTTGATCCAAATCTTCGCTTGAGAGCCCTCATCATTCTCCTCTGTAGGCCTTGGCAATCTAAAACTATTCTGCCCACGCAATACAATGAACGTTTCTTCTAACAATTTCTTTATGATCTGACCTTCAGAGAGTCTAATACACGCCGCCTTAAATGCTGCATCGAGCAGGGTGGATATTAGTTTGGATAAGACTACTCAGACCCTTCCGTCTTTTTATCCTTTTATAACGCCTTTTCATCCTTATTGCCCTGCTCCAACTACTTTTGCCTCACCCATTTGCAGTCCCCAATTATTGGCCCTCCCCCACTTTGATTCAATAGTCGTTTGTCTTCGAGTTCAACTCAGGCACAATAGCAAGGCGTTGCTCTAATCCAGTAGACGAGCCTATGTTCAAGCAACCGGACATCAGTTCATCCCTTTTGGAGTCCACAAGTCTCGTTACAACTGGCATGACTCAACTAGTGCAATTTCCTAAAGATTGGGCAACAAGCAGCACTTGCCCGCACACTAGAGACTCTATAGATCGATATTATCCGTTTATCAGAAACTTGCCTGTAACATTCGAGCTCCGTGCTTAACCTGCGAACACCCACTTGCGACACCGGCTGCGCATTCTCATTGCACCTGTCTGGTGATGATGCAGTTTCAACCGCCTGTCAAGCTGGCGTCGCCACTGTTTGGAGTCCTCAAACTGAGGCTGCCCTGATCCATTGGATCCCAGTCAACAGTCGGATGTGCGCCGTTAGATTAGCTGGTTCGTTCCATGTTACCAGGTCGAGCGTGAACAGAGGGGTCTCTTTCCACTGCAGCCTGCGCCCTTACAAACTGTAACACTTATTCGGTGAAGGATGATTTTTATCAGTAACTTAATCATCACCATCGTTACGGGAGAAGCACGCATACTGTGGTGTTGGCTGGCGATCTAAACGCCCAAGTCGGAAAATTTTCCTCTGAGGAGCTTCATCTGGGTAGACAACAAGTCTAGGCTATCGTACTGACAATGGTGAACGATTGCTACAGACGTGTGAAGATGCCCGTAACATTTTCGTGAGCACAAACTTTCGACACTACCCGCAGAAGCGTGACTTGGCGCCCAGCAGCTTCGCACCAGCCATGGACGCAAATCGATCATATCGCGATCAATTACCTCTGGAGAGGACGTGCCTAAAACTGTCGCTCGATTTGGAGCACCAGCTTGGACTCTGACCACGCACTTGTTTGCGCCGACCGCAGGGTGCGTTTCTGGGAAGGTGCGCAACGTCGAGGTGAACGGATTGACACCAGCCAGCGGGCGAACCCAGGTGTTCTGAATGTGTATTAAAATACGCTGGCATCCAGGCTGAGTAAGCGCCCACTGAACACAGTCGAAGATCACTGGATGCATATTTGTCGAACGTTATCAACAGCAGGCATGTCTTCATGTGGCAAATCAAATTGCCAAATTGGACATTGGGTCTCTACACAGTCTCTGGATTTTATGAATGCTCGCCGACGTATTCCGGATGGAAGCGAATATAATAAGGCTCGTCAAAATCTCATGGCAAATCTGGCTGGTAACCTGAAGAGAGACCGCAAATTCTGCTGTTCTCATCGTGCATCTGCAATGGGATGAGCCGCTGCCGTTGGTAATCATTGTAGTTTATTCC